GCAAATAACTGCTAACTATTGTGCTTAATGGTGCAGTAGAAATTCTAGAAACGGAACCGTGGTGTTCAATTTATTGTGATGACCGGAAATTGATAAAGGAATTTTAAGTTTGCTTTAGAACTCCGGTGTACAGTATACGCTAAAGACCGTGCAAATTTAAAAACTTTACAAAAATTTACTCATTACTCGCATGCCGGTGCAAACACATTAACAAAAACCTAGAAATAATAATAAACAGCATTAGGCATATTTAAAACTTAAAAGAAGTTAAAGAAAAACTAAGTAATTGCCAAGCAAAATAAAATTTCCCCGATCATCCCCAAGTGACGGAGACGTACAAAATAGCTATAATTGAGAAAAATAAATTCGAATATATTCTTTATCTGAAAAGTTTACGTAACCATTTTCTTCATATAAAAAGAAATTTTCAATAGTAAAATGTTTTGTACAGATTACCACAAATGGATAACTATTTATTAAATATCGTTATTGAAATTGTGGAGTCATTTTGTCTCTTTTTCAGGGTCTTCATTTGTTAATGCATAAACTTATCTTCTGTTCAACTTTAACATAAAAACCTTTAAAATAAGATATATATAAAGACCGTTTACTGAAAAAAACTTTTTTGGATATTAGTTCTTATGAAGAGAGCCCTGTGGATCATATTTAGAAAGTCCTCAAAACAGCAAACCACCTTGCCGAGCATACAGAACGTCCGCTAGATACCTCTGATAAAAATTCATACTGCTTAAGTAGCCATTTTTGCAGTACATACTTTGTATTAGCGGTCACAAAGAATCTCGTTAAAAAGCCGGAATCCTATCGTGAGTAAAATCAATTCAGAATAAACTAGAGGCTGATCAATATACCGACCTTACTCAATGCAGATTAGCGAGAGTATCAATTTTTGGCATATGTCGGTATTTTATACGAATTATAAGCCGTACTGTATATATTCCTCAGTTATTGCATATATACAAGAAGGGCTTACTAATAGTTTACTTAATTAACCTTTCATTCTAGTAAGACTAAGCTCCTCTTAAGTAAACCCATATTTTTTCAAACATTTACACTGATCAAAAAGGGATAATATGCGCATATATGTTACATAAGTTTTTTCAACCATTTCCGTTCACCCTATGTAACTAGTTAGGATTCACGAATGAGAGAGAATATTCGCATTCCAGGTATGTCTATTGGTAAAGGAGAAACACGTCCAAGTAGCTTCCCCATTTGTTGCTGTTTCTCCCCCTCTGACGATGGGCTCTTGTAGGAGCTCGTAATTTCAGGAAGAAATAAATTTCGTTCTAGTGTTTGACCATTTGTCCCCTTTACCAATAGTTTAGATTCAATTTCTTCATATTTGGCTCTATCTATTTATGAAAGTAAGGGGCGGCAGATCTATATAAATGTTCCTCATAATTTGGAAGTCTATTTTAATACATTATCCTAATTTATGTCACATCCTCTAGCATCCAAGTCTTGATCTCGATCCTATCCCCACACAGGCATGCAGGACTCACCATATTGTAGTGCTGTATTTCTCTACGGTATATATCGCTCCTCGCTACAGGACTACTGCATAAATGTAGCCTGTGAGCTACGACGTCATCTTGGTTAATCTGGACGTTAGCGACTCGCAACCTGACCTTTACGGGGACCAATATCTTGCGGAGTTATCTCTTCTGCTTCTCTTCTCTTCCTACACAGTTTTTCCAGTTCTCAGCATGCCCAGTAAAAGTAATCACAATAAGAACAGGCACGAAGCAGACAAACTTCGCTTTGTTTTTCAAAACGCCAGCTAAGCGTAAAAGGAGATAGGGGATAGTAGAAATTCTAGTTGGAATTCGCAGAAATGTAAACACTACTGCCGCCACGGAGGCGGAGAGAATTAAACTACTAATTATAAAAACGTACACACTGCAGAATTATTAAAGTGGTTAAAAGTCTCGGGGACATTTTACACTTAACAAAACAGGGAGTAAAAAAATGCTATTTTTTAATAAACAAAAGGTGGAAGGTAATCACCATAAAAATGCGCAAGAAGAGGGCTGCCAGACCCTGATATCACCGATGCTGTCCGCTATCAGTAATTTACTGCGCACGAATCTCCCTCATTCGATGCAAAAAGAGGGCCCCCAGGACATCCGTGGAGTGGAACTCGGTGAAATTCTTGAAGCGTATGAGGTGGGCAATGAAGACGAGTTGATTGCCGGCAAACGAGAAGCCCTCAGGGAGTGGCAGACGTCAAACGTGAAAAAGGCAATAACACGAGGAAAATCTGTACAGAGGGAAAAGTGTTGGACGCGGTACGTGTCGGGAAAGGGACTCGAATTAAAAACAACTACTCATAAATATTAAGTAGGCATAAACAAATCAAAGTTTACTTACCAGTTGTGTGCTTAATTTGCGGCCGTTTATTTGGAAGAACCGAAGTTGGCGGACGGTTCAGGATTCGCCATGAAAAATTGTGCGACTAAAAGAGGAGGTGAAAAGCGTGGGATATGTCGCATTGAGTACATATACAATAATACTGGTCGAACCCCTGTTAGCAGCTTCGATCTCTCATCCATACTCTGCCTAGTTAGCATTTGCCTTGCTCCAAATTGTATTTCAAACGCAAAACAAAGTCGGTTAGTGATAACCATGGGGGAATTTAGGGAATGCATCGCATGTTTAATATGTAGTTGGTGCATCCACATTCGGTTCGGACATCAGTGCCTATCAGATTATTCTTAACGGAGGAAGAATACATAGCTGCCATGATCTCCATGGACAAGATATAGGGTTACCTGGCTTCTCGCATAGAGCACCACTTCTCCACGATGTCATTATTTTATTGTAGCAATTGGTGGTAAGGGCCATCTGGGCGCCTCTAATCTAAATTGTATTTATCTGTTAGCGAAATTTAGCGCAGACAAGGCCACAACACTGGATAGGCAATTGAACTTGAACCCTTTTGACCGGTCGTGACTACACGTAGACCACTATCACACACCAGCCAATGACCATTCATAGTAAGCACCTGCAGTCAAGAGCAAGTTATCCGCACCGTAAACCAGCCTGTTCGCTGTGGGGACAGATTTTTAAGAAACAATGCGATCGACAGGATCGGGAGCCCGATCTGGAAAAGTAACTAACCATCTGAATGCTTTAAATAGGCATTCTGGAGCCGCCGCGGCGTCCACTCTAAAACAATCAGTTGTTGTGGTTGGATTGTGGCCGCTGCAGAGATCAGACCTTTATCGAAACACTAGCTAATTGCAGACTGGCCTCAACTAAGACAGGGTGTGCAGCTTGGCATCACTTCTATGTGGTGTATCACATGCCCTGGCCAGCCCGTGTCCTGTTCAAGCCTCGAGTGGGGCACCACTTGGTGTTCGGTATGGTCGGCAGATGACGGCTAATCAACCAGAAATAGCCATTCCAGTCTCCCTTGTCTTTGCCGGCAAAGTTCACCTGCCTATAATGCCAGCCGCTGGGCGTCTGCTGGCGCGTTTTGGAAGTGAGTCCCAAAGAAAAACTGGACGAGTGAATCCTGTAACCGATCGGTGAGCATTCATCTACCAATCGCTCAACTCACCCAGCTACCAGATATGATTGCCTCTGTGCCCAATATGCAACGTACACGCGAAAGTCAAGGTGAAACGATTAACGCAATCTGGGATCTATTGCTCTGCTTACCGATCCTTTGTCAGCTGATTTGGAGTAGTTTTATTAGGACTGATTAAAAAGTGTTGAACTGTATTTTAAACCCTTTCATTAGTGCCCTACAACCGTCGCTCGGTGGTACTGGACATTTTGTCCCTCCTAAAACTTGAGGATAATATAAAAGGCTTTTTGAAATAAAATTTCCATCACTGTTGGCCGCTGCTAATGTTTCTAGCTTTTTGAACGGGAGTTTTCACCAGCGCTGTGCTTCTCTTGCACTTCTTGCATCTCTTTTAATTCCCAAAGATAATGGCATTTCTGTGAATTATTTTGGAAATCACCTCACCTTACTGAATCATCTTGCAGTCTGAACGAGAGGATTTCAAAGAAGAGGAGCTTGTTGCACTGCTCCTTTTCCATTTTGAAAGTTACTTCTCGGGTGCAGGTCCGCGGCACCTTCGTTGATATCAAAACTCGTGAATCTATCATCCAAGTGTTAGGAGTTTAGCCCGAACGAATTCTAGCAA